CCTTATCTTCCCAATGACCTATTGGTTGCACCCCCTTATCTTCCCAATGACCTATTCAGGGCACCCCCTTTGATCTTCTGATATTTATTGTTTCATGGAATGCAGAGGTATCGCCAGAGCAGCTAAAGGGTGTTCTGAAGGCTAGCAGACTGGGGTCACTTCCTCCCATATCTTTACGGCCTTGACACTTAAGGAGACAGGATGTCTGCCCAATGTCTTTCAACAATAACAGAAATTAGAGAACTGTGTGAAGGTTCATGAACATTAGTTTCCTTGTCATCCCTTTGGCTTCCAAATGTAAGGAAATAAAGATGAGAGAAACTGAGAGCCCTTTTTCATAAGGTTTCATTACAACATAAGTCTGCAGTATATGTTGTATTAATTGACTTCAAGTAAACATTTAATCATATTTCAAGAGCAAAATTATGGTACAGATTTAAAGTTACATCCATTGACTACTGTTTACTTACTCATATCTATAATACATACAGGGAGTCCCTGGGTTAAGAACACCCGGGTTACAGACGATCCATAGTTAAGAACGGAGCCTACTGTAGCAAAATTTGAGTTAAATACACAATGATTCAAGTTAAATACTCATGGTTTGAGTTCATTACACAATACTGCTTATACAGTATTATACAATAACACTGTTCCGGCTTACGTACAAATTCCCTTAAGGACAGACTTGGGACGGAACTTGTTATTAAACTGGGGACTACCTATACAAGAATGCTAATCTTAAAGTAGAATATAACATACCTGATCAGTTTTCTGACTCCATATCCACTGAAAGAGGAGTAAAACAAGGATGTATTATTGTGTGTGACTTTCATGAATCCTATGGTTGAGAATTTGACCAAAACAGACTTTCATCATCTCAAAATTGCAAATGGGAATATCATAGTATTGTTATCAGCAGGTGATGCGGGGATTTTACTGCAAACATTTCTGGAGCTGAGGCTGACTCTTAACTTGTTTCTGCAAGGAACCGCATTCACAGTTAAACTATAGGAAGACTCATATGAATTTTGCAAAAAGACCCAAAACTTGAACAGATAGTGTATTTTCATTACCTTGAGATAATTTTTTTTCTTCCCTCTGATAATCTAAGTCCCACTTCCTACATGCTGTCCAGAAATTAAGCACAAAGGATTATCACAGAGGGGAAAACAGGAGTACAGCCAGCTCCTGTGAACATGAGCCATCCCTACGAATCTGTGCAAAATTCTGAGATAGAGGAAATACTTCAAAGGATGAAGCTAGGATCAGTGCCTTATGAAGGGAAACGGTGGTGCGCATCTTGCTACAGAAACAACAGATGCACTGCCAACCTAGAAAAAGTGGAACAAATGTTTGAGAAATATTGCGGGGTGTATAAAATTGTGTGAAGGAAAAACCATGTTTGCAAACTGCTGAGGAGGAATCTGAGCTTTTTGAGGGCTGGAAAGCTGTCAAGGGCATTGTGGGGGGGCTGGAGGGGCTGTGAGTTCACAGCACTGGGAATGTGTATGAGTGGGCTGTGGGTGCTGAAAGATTTGCAAGAGAAATTGACTGCAGGTAGATAGCAGACTAATCTGGAAGAAGCCCCATGTAGCCTCAGGGAGATAAGGTGAGAAAAGTGTGCTTTCCTGCCACTGCGAGGTGAAAATGAAACAGAAGAAAAGCTAAAAAGAGAGGGAGGGAGGTGTCTAGTGAATACAGTACCGCTCTCATGAGAGTTATCATGAATTGCCCTAGAAGAGATCCACCAATGATGAGGAAACTTTTGGAAAAGAGTGGGGGAATGCTCTTTGATCCAGAATAAAATGAAAGATCCTATTAACAATCTGCAACACACAAGGAACACCAACACGATTACACAAAGTGGCACATTGTGAATACTGTGGAGCTCCTGAAGCTGTTCTGAGTATTAGCAATTGACTCTGGGCAGAATAAACAAATGAGAGGGATGGATGGGAGCGTGTTTATTTGGAGAGTTACAACCCTAAAAGCATAATATCCTCAGCCCATGGATTGGGAAGAGTCCCGTATTCTGTGGTGAATGGCGGAGGAGGGAAAACAGCAGCTGCAGCAATTGGTTATTCAGTCTGGCGTGACACTTAAAAACTGCTGGTTAGATGGCACACTGAGCAGTTTCGAGTAATTCTGTATAACAGGGCTAACTGTTGTCTTTATTTATCCAGAGACTCATGACACATGGCACGAATGCAGGTTTATTACCTTTCTTGTTCCTCTTCTATTCTAAAAGCTTCACTGCCTCACACATACACAGCCTAAGCAAACTATCTAACTCAATGTCTAGCTAGCCAAACTAGGTTTGAGTTCTACCATGCAAAGTATTCCAACCTATGGGATGGCTCTGAAAGTACTACAGTTCCCATCCACTTGTATAACTTCCAGTGATGCTTGGTCAGTCTCACTTCAGCACTTTTCTCATGTCTCCTTGTACATTTCCACTTGAGTATCATTGTTTCATCCACTTCACTGGGGAATTTCAACTCTCTCTTGTTTTGGGAACCACTTCATGTTTTAAGAACCATCTCTTTTAGATTCAGAAATCTTAATTCTTGTATTTTTTTACATGCTACAAAAACTAAAATCTTGGAAATATTTGTTCCATCCCATTCTCAAGAAACGATTACTGGACAGTTCATTCTGCCCCTATGACTTGCTTTGAGTGAGTCTCATGTACTCTATCTTTCATATAAGCACTCATGTGGCATTATATACATATAAACCATAGAGATACAAATCAGGATATATATTAACAACAATATGATGACAACTGTGTCTCACCTCCTGTTTTATGTCTTTGCTTGTTTAGCTAACAACCAGGCTTGATTATAAGTGGAATAATGGACACAGTGGGTTTACAAAGGGCACATTAAAAAGAATTCTAATGCACCCACACACCCATACACACCCATACATACACACGGGAGAGCCAATTTAGTCTAGTGGTTAAAGTGCTGGACTAGGATTGGGAAAACCCAGGTTCTAGTCCTGCCCTTGATACAAAACCCATCTGGGTGGCCTTGGCCAATCACCCTCTCTCAGCCCTAGGAAGAAGGCAATGGCGAACCCCAGGGCCTGCAAAGATTTTAATGTACCCGTGGCTAGCAGGGACAAGAAATAAAGGAGAAATCAGGCCACACCAGCTATGTGGTTATTTTACCCACCCCATCTTGCTTTGAGGGAGGGAATGTTATTGTAAAATAAACCCAGGTCAGGGCGGGATGACCTAGGGGTGGGATCTATCTGCTTTCTCTCTCTCCTACCCTTATTTTCTCACTTTCTCAGACTCCCATGATGCTGTCCTTCGTTTCAATGGAGCCCCAACCACTGGCTACGAACATGATGTGGGCACCAAAACAACACTCCGTCTTGTGAATTCCCAGGTGGGCAATGAACTTTGGAGGCCAAGACTGAGGTGTGGGCAAAAGAAAGCAAGCCTGTGGGTAGATAAAAGATAACAGCCAAATGGGGAAAAGATGAAGAAAATCCAATGGTTTTGTTTCATGTGTTTGCCATAAAACAGGCAGTAGCCTCAGTTCACTATACAGTTAGATATCAGCGGGGTCCACAGATAGCCAAAAAAGTAAAAATGGTGGCCAGACCAATGTGATTAAAGCTCTACCCATTTTTATATGCGTCATGTTTTATATCTTACATTGTTACATCAATAGATTTGGCTGATTGTCCTCAAATATATCAACATATAAGAAAGATCTAAAGTCAGATTCAGACAATTACAGACCTAGCTGTTTTGTCAGTAGTAGGCAAATGATACAGCTTTTAATTACAAGGTAGAATGTGCGTTGCTTTGCCCTGAGAGAAAAAGTGAGTTGCCTAGGCTCCTAAGGTTGGAAGAGATCTCAGAGGTCTTCTAATCCAATGTTTCTCAACCTTGGCAGCTTTAAGATGCATGGACTTCAACTCCCAGAATTCCCTAGCTAGAGTGCTGTCTGGGGAATTCCAGGAGTTGAAGTCCACACATCTTAAAGCTACCAAGTTGAGAAACACTTTTTTAGTCCATTCCCTGCCCAGGGCAGGAATCTTTATACCATCTCAGACAAATAGGCATTCAACCTTTGCTTGAAAACCTCACATGACAGTGCACACGCAACTCTAGGAGGCAGGCCGTTCCACTGCCTAATTGTGACCATGGTCAGGAAATTCCTCCTTATCTTGAATTTGGATTTCCCACCCTGAAGCTTCCACCCTGAAGCTTCCATAGAGAGATATGGAAGAATAAATGGCCTGTACCAACCCATCATAACCTGGATCCCTTGGTTAGACATCATTACTGAAGCAGAAACCACTCTCACCCAAAGACAAACTGAGATAGTCCATTTAACAGATTCTATGATTTCAAAGAAGAATTTGGGGCTCTGACCAGCCTTTCTCTAATACAGGCCCAGATTAAGTTGCCTGTACTGGATTTTTCCTTCTGGCATTAAGTGAGGCCTGTCACTCACCTACCTGTATTTGTTTTGTAGCTGATGAAAGGAGAGAGAAGTCTGCACCTGTGAGGTTGTGTTCTGGGACCTGATTGCTAGGTTACTGGGATTACTGTGGGATTAATGAAGAGAAACCTCTTGAAACCTGGCAGAGATTCTCCATCACTCTAAAGACTGCATTACCTGGAGTTAAACTACATGAGCTGGTACTTCAAACTCACCTCTATTAATTTTCCCTTAATCATTTTTAATATAAACCTTGATCTGGCTATCTGAAAAGAATTAGAATATAATCCCAATCAAATAATCTTTAATTAAGTAATAGAAACTAAAATTTCCATATCCAACGGTATCCATGCAGTCAGAAAAGTCATGATGGTGGCTGTGATGACATGATCAAAGCCCTCCCCATTTTTACATGCATTGCACACTCACACGTGTAAAAAAGGGGCAGGGCTTTGATCTTACAATCATTGCCACCATCATGCCCAAATCTCTTAACATTTAAGAGATTTGTGAGAAGTCACTGCTGACGTTTATGTCTCAGGTATCAAGATTGCACGTCTGAAACTCAACATTCACTCAACCCACAGTTAATTTATTTATTTTCACAGTATTATTAGTTACAGTATTGATACTAACTGGACTCATATGAATACATTTTGCCTTTATCATAACTGAGACTGTTTACATAGGATTACCATTAAGGTAATTATTGCTGCCGGTTGCTAGCATTGCATTTTGAATTCTTCACTAGCTGCAGGTCAGAGAAAGATCTTTGATCTTTGCTCTAAAAAGTCCTCTCCTCTGAAATTGTAGCAGTTGTTTGCGATATAAGATGGATTGTTGGGAGGTAGTGCTGAGGCTTTTTCTCTATTTCTGCCTGGCATTTTGCTGAATATGCCTGGAATCCAACCCTTAGCTCAAAGTCAAATATCAAAAACAGTAAGATTATCAGAATAGCAGCTTTCAAAGTGTGTATTAATTATTGTTCTTAAGGAGTTCCAGAAAAGTTGGATGACCAAGGAAGGATAAAAGGTAAAAGGGTAGGAAAAAAATTGCATGCCACAAAGGAAGCTGAATCTGAGAGTTGGGGTTCTCCCTCTATGCAAATGTATAAGCTGCTTCTGGGCAATTCTTGCAAAATATAGGATATTTCTCTGATTCTTTCCAAGATATTTCTAAATGGAGGGGAAGTACTCTTATTCTGAGAAATTGGCCAGGCTAGCCATGAACATCACTTGGTTGTTTTCCTTGCAGCTGCGTGGTTGGCTTGAATTAGTGAGTCAAAAATGTTCTCATTCACTTTCTGCTCCACAGCTGATGGCTTCTCCAGAGCAGCATTTTCTAGATGGACAACTCTATGCACAGGGAACTCTGGTCGCATGGGATCCAGCCCCTTACCCAGGGGACCTAGAAGAGGTGAGATTTGCTGGTTGGGGTCACATTATATGCTAGCCTAGGCTAAAATGGGGCTGGGGTAATTTGTGGCTCCCACACATTATCATATCTGTGAACCAGGCCATCTTCTTAAGCTATAATATAGTTTGCTGGGGCAACAAGACACAATTGTGTTTTGTTAACCCAGGCCTAGGGTTAATCTGTGTGGTATGAACTTGGTCCCTTTAATATCTGTATTGTGGGATAGAATGGGATCTGCACATACATACATACATACATAACACCCCCACTTCTAAGGAACAGAGTTGGGAACTTATGGCTGATAAACCACATATGTTTAGCTCTCAGAGCACTCAGGACAGAGCTACTGATATTCAGCAGATAATGGATTTCCCCCCCCCCTTTTTTTTTTCTCACAAACATAATACTTGAAATAGTTTGCTATCCTAAAATCCTAAAAAACAATAAACCCAAACTTGAAAAAAAATCAGGCCAAAGTTTATGGTGCATTCTTGAGGCTTTCAGTGGTCTAACAAATCATTTGAAAAATACGGCTCTGGGCTGTAAAATGTTCCTGTGCCGTAGGGGATCAGAGACGTTCTCTTTCAGAGTATGGAAGGAGAGTGAATGAAGTATGGTGTTCTCTGATCCTCTGGGTATTTTTTTTTCTTTAAAGCAGTGTTTCTCAACCTTGACAACTTTAAGATGTGTGGACGTCAACTTTGTATTTCGTGAATGTGAATGGTCCTTTTTTACAAAAACATAATTAGTGAATTCACAGCTATAAAATGGAGTGATGCCTCCAACTTGGAAAGCTAAAAAAAGATGTATGGTAAACCATGATGGATAAATGGACCTTTTTTGTTGGAGTTGGACATCCAAGTTCAAGTCCACGCTCACACATAAAAGCTCACCTGGTGACTTTGGCCTGAGAGGGAACAAATGGCCCAATCAACCTTACATTGTAAATTGTCATTGTAGGGAAAAAATGGAGGAAAGAATGCTATGAATGCTGCCTTGAGATTTTAAATCAAAGATGGGATATAAATCTAATGAATGAATGTGCTTGGCCACTTTTAGAAGCACTTGGGTCTGATTCAGCTGCAGCATCTTCTTTTTATATATTTTTTTCTTAGTAATAAACATTTCTAAAGTCTAGAATTTCTTCTCCAGAGTTAAGTAACTGACTCATAGGTGCAGGATGTGCCAATGACAGCTTTCTCTTCCAGAGACAGAAGGCTGTGTTTCAATGACATCTCAGCCCCTACCTCCATCATACACTAACTAAACTTTGTGGCTTACCACATCAAAACTGCCTCTGTTTTGGTTTTCTAGAAACCAGATTTGTAACCAATAACAAACCTGGGGTATAAGTCCCAGTTTGTGGAAACTCAGATTATGACTGTGATTCAAATGACACAGAAAGTGATAAAGGTTGATTGAAGAATTGTACAAGATGGGGGATATAATAGTGGCATGTGTTCATTTACCCTTTGTTTAACTCAGTGTGTCATGCAGACATAATTCAACTGAAGATAATAGATTTTATCAAATCAAAGTTAAAACTATTAAGACACTTGAAAAAGCTAAATTAAAGAGCTGTATCTTGACACCCTTTCTCAAAGTCAACAAAATGGGGTTCACTCACAGAATGAAAGGGGCGTTTCTGCAGAGAAAGCCTTTTCCATTTCCCTTGTGCTTCTGAGATGTCCTCAAAAGTCCTCTGCAAATTCACTCTCCCCATTTCAGGAAAGAAGAACTCAAACATTTGCACTGTTGGAAAACAGACTCAATTTTGTGAGAGGGTTGTTGTTGTTTGGAACTTAGCATGTTTTGGGAACTCAGGCCAGTTGGTTGGTCTGTGGCTCAGCCCATTATGTAAACTCACCAAAAGGTTCAGTTAATTCAGCAACTAGCTTAAATGCGTTGTGCAAATGCAGTCATTGCATCATTAGAAGCTGCTGAACCTCTCTGCTGAATTTGGGGAGACATGGAGGTGAAACATAACTCTGGTGTTTTGGGTAGGTTAGACCGTGATGTTATATCTTGACAGATTGGTCTTTTCCCTCCCCAGTGGTACAAGACCCCTGATTATCCTCTCTTTGAACCATTCCGTACTTTGCGGGCCAACAGACCTTGGCAGCTGTTCCATCTCTTGCACCCACGACTGCAGTGGGAGCTCTGGCAGCTGGTGCAGGAAGGGGCTGATGAGCAGGTGCAACGCAACCCTCCATCTTCAGGCCTGCTGGGTAAGTCAGAAAGGAAGATCTTCAACCTACCAGATTCTCTGCAGCCCAAGTACCACATCCTTTGAATTTGCTTGCAACTGCTTTCCACACTTGCAAGGTCTAAATCATTGCTCTCTTTACAGTTGTGGCCAAGCCAGTATTTTGTATTCCTTGTCTCACTGCTTGGTTTTGCTCAAAGTTTCTGCACCAAAAACGGTCGCTGCCAAGATGCTTGTCCTGGTGACTTGCTAGAGTGAAATTGGGTGGCCCAAAAACATTTGGAAGGCATTCCTTCCTTAATCTCAAGAAGCCCTTTCTCCTAATTACAACTTGGGGGCAGCTGAAATTATTTAGTGACAATGGCTGAGTTCACACAACACTCTAAGCCTGGGTTAACAAAACACAGTTGCTATGTTTACATAATATGTGAGGCTAAGATTACCAGATCTGATTTGCAAAAATGCAGATGACCACTAAAGGCACCAAGCAGGATAACTTTTTAATTTTTGCTGTCATCTAGTGGTTGCAGGGACTTTTAATGGCCAAGATCTGCTGGCTTTAACTGTATCCAAGCAAATTAACCATTGTGGAGTCAAAATGCAGGACCCAAAAGCAAATAATCAAGGCTTCACTGCAGTGTTTATTAAACATTATGTACTGGAGGGGACCCCACTGAGGGATAGGGAGAGACACCCCTGCAAACAAAAGAGATGCACCAATATACATTTCAGGAAAGGGGAAGGGAAAAATGATGCATACATACATATTCATATGATGATGCAGGCATAGATAAGTAAGTGATTGATCTTGAGTTACTTCCTGCCCCTCTTGCTATCTACTATCTACAAAGAAAACAATAGGCTTACTGAGGAAACAAATCAATTCAGGGTGTCAAATGCCAGGAAGAACACATCCTCCTTCAGGACAGATGCCTCGGTTGCTATGGGGATGTTTTGATAAGGTCTCTACAACCAGCCTAGTTCACACCATCTCCAAGGCTGCTGCGCTTTCCTTTACATTTCAATTTTGTTTGAATGCTCCCATTCATCTGAAGACTCTAAGCATTTATTTTCTTCACCTAAAAATGTAAAAATGTTTCCTGACACCATATTATAATGATTCACCTCTACTGCTAGGTTCCACATGTAGCTGAATCCAACCCGCTTTTGACCTAGTCAAGCACACTGTGTGGACCCTGCTAATCAGAGGCATCAGCATGGGTAGGGTTCAGATGGTGAAAGCAGCATCATGGTGCTGCCACACCCACTCCATCCCTTTTGTGCATTAGTCATGATATTGTACATATCACATACTGGAACTTGCATTGTGATGATGTAACCCTGCCTTCATCATTTGGATAAGCACCGGATCCTACAGATGCCTCTATAGCCAATGAGAGGGTCATCCTGCACATGCTCAGAGGATCTATCACCAGTATTGCAGTGCTGATGAAGAGATAGCCCCATCTGAAAGGACTCTGTCTTGCCTTGGTAACAAACCCTAACCCTAACCCTAACCCTGAAGGTCCCTTACGCACTGGTCACTTTATTCAGTCTGGCTCTTTTTCTTTTTCTCTCTCGCTCTCCCCTCAATATCTAGGGACAGTGCTAATGATGTCCTTGTGTGAACTTGTCCACGTGTATGAATTCCTACCGTCTCAACGGCAATCCCACCAGTGTCACTATTACCAGGATTTCTCTGATGACGCTTGCACCCTAGGTGCTTACCACCCACTGCTCTTTGAGAAGAACCTGGTGCGGCGCATGAACCGTGGCACACAGGCTGACTTGGCACAACGGGGCCGTGTGACTCTGCCAGGCTTCCAAGTCCTGAACTGCACTCAGAAGGACTAAAAACTGCAGCAGGGTCTGAAGCAAGGTGAGGCAATCTGTTTTACATGGCAGCAGAGGGGATCATAGATACCCTGTGAAAGCAGGCATACATCTCATCATGGTGTTGTCAGATTGCTTAAGCTTGAGCTTTTGATGCAGTGCAGCGTTTCTCAACCTCAGCAACTCTAAGATATGTGCCCTGCAACTCCCAGAATTCCCATGCTAGCAACTTTAAGATGTGTGGAGTTGAAATCCACGTATTTGAGAAACACTGGTGTAGTGAAACGACTGGCAATGTAGTAGGGATATTCCAGGAAGTCCAAATAGCTTTTACTGTACATGACATTGGGGGGCGGGAGCGGGGGCAGGAGAATGGGGACCACAGAAAAAAAGAGGAGTCAAGTGAAGCCCCCTCATCTGACCCCACAGATTGTAGGAATGAAAAGACACTCAAGGGTTTAGAGTGAGACATGTGATGAAGTGAGCTGCAGCTCAGGAAAGCATATGTCTTTTACTAAAATATGTTAGTCAGACAAAATGCTACCAGTTTCCTGATTCTTTAACCATTTATGTGATCCCTCTGAGTCCTGGTGCTCCCCATTCCTTGCACTCTGATGATCATCAGCTCAGACTCTCCTCCATCAATATTACTGAGATGCTGCTTGATGGAATAAGTTCTATTTTCAAAGACAAGGGATTCAACAAGGAGGTACTATGTTTAGCTTCCTGATGGTCTGTCTTCCCCTGAGAAAGATCTACTGTTATACAACTATAGGTTCTGAGGTGTGGACCTGATGGATTGGTAATGCAGCATGCTAAACCCAAAACTGAATTAACAAACACAATTGCTGTGTTTGCATAATGTGCCATGTCCAAAAAAATGAACCCTATTGTGGTTGAATGTGAGATCCTAGTTCATGGAATAGCTCATATGTTGGGCTATCCAGTCCAAGTTTCCTGCAGCACCACTGGGGAAATGTTCACCTGGGGTAGTGTTTTAATAAAATCCAGTTAGTTTTACTGATCAAGAGAGCTAATATGGCAGCTGTCGGTCAAAAAAAAGACCGCTGACAATAAGTCCGCCTATGCATCCTGAAACACTATTGATTGCTTTGAAGTGAGGCCTTTATGAGCCTTTGGCTTGCTTCACTGCTTTGTGTTACAGTGGTCTACCATACATGGATTGCATAAACCTGTACAACCACTTGATGGCAGCAGAGAGTCTCTGGTATCTCCTTGCTGCCATCTGGTGTTCACTGGGATTTTTAAAGCCCAGATGTAGCAGGCACTCTCCTTTTCTAGAAGAGTTTACTTGTTTGTAAATGTAGATCATAAACTCCATAGAAGCCAGGAACCATTTGCTTTTGCTTGTAAGACATTGTAACATATGATGTAGATAGCGCAGTATATATTTTAGGAGAAAATTCTCCTTTATGGGTCTGCTTAATAATGGAGACCAGAACATCCATTTCATAGAAGTGGAATAGAATACAAATCATGGTTTTTTATGATCCTGGAGGCTGCAGTAGCAATCCTAAGAGCTGCAAAATCTTCAGACAGAAACTTATCATACTCTTTTGTAAAAGCAAATTAGCAGTCTGCGCTAGACCTTGGCTGGCTGGTGCAGATTATTACATACACAAGAGTTATTTATGTTTTTATATTTTTAAAGGGTATGCACCACCTAACCTGGAAAAAAATACACAAGGCAGCTGGAAACACAGTAAAAAAACCATCAATCAACACAAAATGCATCATGAAAAATCTATAATTGTCAGCCCTGAAGTTGGAGTTAAGATCAGTGAAGGAAGCTGGAAAGTGGATGGATCGTAGGTGGGGGAAAACCCACAAATCTGATTAAATACAAGTTACAGGCCATGACTGAGCTAACTCTGTGGCAGTGGTGGAGGGGAAGAAGAATTTTTCCTCTGCGTCTCTCGTTCATCCAACAGAACGTTCTTGAGTGATGTGCAGACTTTTGAAACCTAGCCTGGAAGGGGGAATTAGTGGAATTCGCAGTAGCCTACTACTGTATAATACACGCACAAGACATTTGTAACGTTGCTTGCTTCCATTATGTGTTTGACTCTGCAAATGATGTCTAATGGAAATGTCCAGAGCACTATCTGCCCTAGTGGACAGGGGTTATTTTTACTTATTAGACATTTGGTTATGGATACAGTGATTGTGTGAGTTCTGGCTAAGATTATATTGGCACTTCCACTCTGGTACCATTTTCACTTCCCAAATGCAATTTGAAGGTGACTTTTGACTGTCCTCACTTCCAGTGAAATTGAGCTGCTGAGAAGAGAAAATCATGTAGAGAAATTTAGTTGGGTTCTTGAGAAAGGGGTGGCAGAGAAGAACCATTTACTCAGCCTGGGAAAATAGAAAGTGTGAGAGAAAGATTCAGAACAGCCCCCCCCCTTGACCTTTTTGTCCTTAAAAAGGGCTAGTGATTTGGACAGGCTTTTAAGATTCTGTCAATATACCCTACAACAATAAAGTAGGATTCCTGCAATCCCTGCAGGATCTGCTTCTTGACTTGGCCTGCCTCATAGGGCTGACAATCACAGACCCACCCCAAGCTACAGATTCTCTAGAAATAAAAACCACCTCACGCCTACTGTACAGAAAAGAGAAGGGAAAAGAAATCAAGCAGCCTGATATTTCATCTGCCAGCTCTTGGGTAGAAAGGAAGGCGAAAACTAAAAAAACTCTTCTCACTTCATCCCTATTAATCCTATGGGCTTCAAAGTGAGAATCAAATTTACAGAATCAGCCCTTAGATAACCAAAAGTCCAGGAGCTGGGAGGAAAGGTGGTGCAGAATCATTGCAGCTAAGAGAACCATAGCTTTGTAGTAGTTTCAGCTACACCACAGCTGAGCTGGGAATATATCAGTTCAGCTTTCCAGCACAGCTGGTATCACGGGGTCCAGAGATCTGGACCTGCTTTCAAATCCTCATGTCTTCTGCAGCTCCTTATATAGTAACCATTTCAGCTGATAAATTAGTGAGATAGAGCAAGATGGATTGGCCATGATTGTCCATGTTCTGATAAATGTATCCCATTTGGATACATTTACATTTTGGACTGCCATTGATAATAGTGCAGAAACTTCCATTGGTTCAAAACAGGTTGCAGGGATATTAATTAAGACTGGGCTTTTGATCACAGTATGTCAATTTTTTTAACCACTGCATGGCTTACAATCTTCCTGAATGAGAGTTTTTTCCTAAAACGAGTGGAGACCAGGCTATATTAGGGTCATCACACTTTTGCTGCCACTTAATGAGCATCTGGTTTTTCGCAGCCCAGATCTGGTAGCCTTAGATTATGCGAAATAGGACTTCAAGGACTATGTTGTCGTTTGACGCTATCTTGTATGGCCTCTGAGTGGGATAATAAATTGAATAAATCATATATCTTCAGTTTGACAGGAATTTGTTTAGCTGTTTATTATTTTGCTTTTTAAATGTTTTGTGTATTTTTAATTTGCTTTTCCTGATAATCACCAGATCTTTTAGTTTGCTTTCTGACAGTGGATTGTTTTAATGAGGATGCTGTAAAGCCACTCTGCCTGCATTCAAACAACAGGGAGTACCATATGGGCAGAAAGAAAGGTCAGTTGTTTAAATAACAATAACAGGAGGAACAACATATTTTTTAAAATATTAAGTAAGTAAAATGCTTTTTCAGGTTACTGAAACTTCCACTGCTTAATAAGAATACTTAAGAAATATATATGGTTATTGCAGCTATTGTTCAGGGGAGATGTTGTGCTATATTGGATACTGCAAATGAGTGAGTTTCTGAAGTTCTTGGTTAAAAAACACTTTCAGCTTTTTAGGTCCCTAGACTAACTCAAACAGATTTCCTTCAAACTGATTGCTGGCAAAAGGATATTGTGGAAAGTGAACAAAGAGCATCCTGTTTTAAGCAAATTCATATTGTATTTGTCACAATACATTTAACTGTGTCATGTTATATTTGTCTAACATGCTAAGTATGGTTAATTTTCATCTTGGTTAATATGTGATGCATGGGTGATGAAATTTTGTCAAAATGACTCAAATGTATCATAATGTCACAATGCAAGTTCTACCCCTTGTATATTTACATATGATGTCACAACACATATAAAAGAGGCACAGTATGTGTCACACATGTTGTGGAATCCCCATATGCCCACATGTCAGGCTTAGTGTGTTATAACTGGTGGTTATAACAGTTATGGTTATATGGTTAACAGTTATTAACCATAACTGGGTTAATTTAGTAACCAAGTTATGCAAATTCGGCCACTGAATATTTGAAGATAGATTCCTGCCCAGGATCAGGGTTTGTAGCTCTACTAGAGGTTTGTGTGACTCTTAAAGATTCCCCTTCCTATTAACAGAATGGTTCTAACTTTATGCCTTGCAGAGTTTTACACTCCTGGAGATCTTTTGCCTTCCCCTACCAGTGAATAGTTTAGAGAAAATATTTTGAAATGCAACTCAGCTTGCACCATGGCATCTGCACAAGTGCTGAAATGACTTCTGAGAATGTGGTTTCTACCATAGGAGGTGGGGTATGGGTTTTTTTTTTCTGCTTAACATTACGAACAGCAGGAAGGAAGATGATTTTGCTGAAGACATACAAGCAGGTGATCTCTTCAAGCAGCTCCTAATTCCTATGACCAGTCATTCCGGAATGTGAACATCTGTGAGTAAGTTCTTTGGAAAGCGAGCAGGAGGTAGATCTTCTGAACAGGAGAATACCTAAAGGAGAGGTTGCTGATTTGAAAACCCGTAGACTAATTTCCCATCCTGACCTATATAGTCACTCTCTGTTAAGTAGACAGAAACAGATATCTTGGATTGTTATGATTATTCTTAAATGATTCTTTTTCTCCATTCCTTCACATAGGTGCAGCATCATAAGTTTTTCAAGTTGGAACAGAATGAGATGAAATATTCAGTAATAGCAGTCCAAATGGTGCAGATTATCTATTATAAATTTCACACAGATTACCTTGAGGGGTTCTATGCAAAGAAAAGTAGTGGCTGTAAAAAATAAGGATGCCTCTTCCTGAATGTGGGGGAGCATTTTGCCAGGGCATGAGAAATTAGCTCTTTGTCCCAGAATAAATCGGTGTTAAGCCAGTTAATATGGCTCCCAAAACAGGGTTACAGAACTGCTCAGAATGAAAGACTAAGACTGGGAAACTTTGGAGGGTCTAGTTCAGAACTGACTAGGTGTGTTTGTCCAATGCTCTAGGCTAAAATGGGATTGAGGAGTTTGTGATATAGCGTTGCTGTTTGAATCCAGCCATTGTCTTAGAATGTTGTGCAAATCAGGTCATCACATTAAGCCATAACAGCATGTTACATGCTAGTATGTAATTGTATTGCAGAAATTGTATTCTGCTATTCATTGTGATGTGTGAATATATTATACTAGAGATTTCTGACTCATAGGCACCATTGGAGTTAGAGGAAGATCTACTCAGAATTATCTTGCTGTCCCCTAGAGTTCGAGCTTCGATTGAATCAGTATATAGCTGAATAGGGAAAGGAACTATGACTCAATCTTGAAACTCTTGAAAGTTAGCGAAGGATTTTCCAGTGCTCCTTCATGAACTTGAGTTCAGTTATTTTTTTCATCTCTTCCATCCAAACCTAAAGTAGTTCTGGAAGAACCACTTCCTTAGAGCAACTAATAGTGGTTAAGTGACATGTCAGCCTTTGGCTAAACCCAGAAATAAAGCAATCCTGACTTATAAAAAATGTCTAGCACAGCTGGGAAAGATGCAAGTAAGAGTAACTATAATATTCTGATATTTTTAGTTCCAAGAAAGATTAAATCTTCCAATTTGAAGATAAGGGAAAGTTGGGATATGATATAAAATTATGCATGGCACAGAAAAGATGGAGACAGGCTTTTCTCTTTTTCGGATTGTAATAGCTCTAATGGTGTTTAGTGTGGGGAAAAAATTAAGTCACTGGGCGTCAGGTGGCATATACATTTAAATGATGATGATGATGATGATGATGATGATGATGATGATGTTGCTTTAAGACATAGCCGCAGGATGTTGGGAGCTGCAGGCTGGGAGCTACTACGGGCTGCTTAAAAGAGTACTAGTTTGACTGGATTTAGGGAAAACTCATTCTGTTTCTTTCTGTATGGCTTGCCCCAGGTCAGTTCAGTCATTCTCTGTGTTGCTAACAATAAATGTTCACAAATTGGCGCTTTTCTGCAATCGCATGTGCGCACTTTTCAACAGCTACCTAGTGATCTTCTTAGGCAAAAGCTTTAAGACAAAAAATCTCTCTTTCTTGCCTAGCGCATTGTTACCTCCGATTGAATTCCTGATTCCCCCTAACCTAGATTATTTTAAAAGGGGATGAACCTTTCCAAAGAAGAAAGCGGGGGTGTCTGTCAGGGCTGGGGGAGCCACAAAAATCCAGTGGCAGCTGCAACTGGGTGATTGCACTTATTTGCGTGTCTCAGAAAGGAAGAGGTTTCAGCTATGTGGTCATAACTGCTCTCTTGATATTTTTGAACCCCACCCTTCCCCTACTGATGCCCTTAGAAGAAGTGACACTTGCTTTCAGAGGCTAATAATATAAGTAAAGCAGCACTACAGATTCATTTATTTAGTACATTTATATCTTGCTATTTAGCAGGGCAAATAGAAAAAAAGATTTTAAACAAGATAAAATGCACATAAAATGCAGCGGGACAACACATTGAAAGGAAGAATCCAGCTATCCAGCCATATGTATCAATCATACTATTCCCTTTTGGTGTAAGCATTGTTATATAGAGCAGGGTTCCTCAACCTTAGCAACTTTAAGATGGGTGGACTTCAACTCCCAGAATTCCCCAGCCAGCCATTCTGCTTGAGGAATTCTG